ACAGATAGTAGTAAGAAGGAGCCAAGAAGTAGCAGTGGAAAGGCTGCAGAAAAGAGTCAGGTCCCAGAGGAGGGGGCAAAGGAGGTGAGGGGGTTATTGTTGTTGTTGTTGTTGTTGTTGTCTTCAAACATGTGCGATTTTATGCCCCCCCCCCCCTCACTGCACCCCCAGGGCGGTGCTACTGACTGAAGTGTCTTTTGGCCATCCCCAATTTGGGGGGGGGGGGGGAGAGGGGACATTAACATGTTCTTATGCATAGTAGAAAGTTGAATTGTAAATTGGTTGATTCAACAATGTCATGGTCATAACTGTGCCTGAGCTGCAACAGAGAATTGCTGCTTTTTTCTTTCCTAATCCTTCTACTTCTTTTATATGTTTGTCACACTCTTATGACCTGCTATTTCCGGGGTGCCTTGATAGTCAAAGCAGACTTTGTGCTGTTGAAGCAAGAGAGGTGTGCAGAATAAGCCTGATTCAATGTAAAGACTTCTCTGTTGACATCCACCCATTGTCGCTCATATAATATGACCTTATTATGCAGTTGCGAGTGCCATAAAACCTCTACTAAAAAACTAAAACCGGTCCACTTACATTTTGTGTTATCTTATCACCCCCCCCCCCCTTAAAAAAACCCACCCCTTTCCTCCTGCGCACTTAAAAAAAGTTCTTTTGATGTATAATATATTCCAAATCTGTGCCTCTGAATGTGTCATATCATGTTTCATTAATTAGCAGACGAGTGCCCTTGAGATAAATGAAGCGGTGTTGTCTACAATTAAAACGCGGGGAACAAAGGGGGATGTGGAGCAAAACTGACAATAATTATGTAGAGTGCGCTTCTTTAAGCTTGTTTTCTGTCAGATGTGAAGGCATGCAGAGCGGCAAGCTGCACTTATGAATGCTGTGATGTTAAGCGAACCTTTTCAACGCTGTAAAGAGGCGGGAGCTCCTGATTTGACGTCTTTATTATTATTATTATTATTTACTTTTTAAAAACCACGTTTTTTTATATTTTAGGACCCAGGTGATTGTAAAAAGGTGTTGCGTTCCTATCGAGACAATTTTAATAATCTAAGAGGCTGGAAAATAGTGATGGCTACTGTTTGACCAACTTTCATTAGTCAGTGGTGATTGTGATAAATGAATTCATGAACTTAGGAGAAAAGAGATGGGGTGATGATGGTGGTACAGTAGTGTGTGTCTGTCTGTCTGTCTGTCTGTCTGTCTGTCTGTCTGTCTGTCTGTCTGTCTGTCTGTCTGTCTGTCTTTGTATGTGTGAATGGGGCATGGTACATACATTTGTGTGAATGTGTGTGTAGTGTGTGACTGTGTGTATTTGTGTGGAAGTGTGTGTGGATGTGTGTTTCTGTGTGTGTCTGTCTGTCTGTCTGTGCGCGCGTGCTTGTATGTGTTTGTATGTATATATTTGTGTGTATGTACGTATTATATATGTGTGTGGTCTGTGTCTGTGTGGAGGGAAGGGGGTGTAAGGAGAATTTGTAAAGAAAAGTTCACCTGTGTATCCCTTTGACGACTGCTTGTTTGTACTTCGAATAACCCAGTTTCTACGTGGCGTTTTGAGAACAAAAAACATCGAGAAAGGTCAAATTGTGAAACGCTATTCACCGTCATGTTTGACCCTGACCAGTGTTATTGGTGGTGTTGGTGGTTGGTTGGCGGGTGCTCTGGTGTGGTTTGCTTCTTCTTTCCTGTTAAACATCTGTCGTCCTTATTTCTCCTTCTGTTTTGTGTTTGTTACTCTTTTGTAACACCTCTAATCTTCGGCACTTATAAGACCTTATTGTGTTGCAAGTGCCGCAGAACACTGACTAACTAAAACAAAACAATTTGGTGGTGATAGATAGATAGATAGATAGATAGACAGACAGACAGACAGACAGACAGACAGACAGACAGACAGACAGACAGACAGACAGACAGACAGACAGACAGACAGACAGACAGACAGACAGATAGACAGACAGACAGACAGACAGACA